GTTCCCCCAGAGCCTGATTCCAAGTCTATGTCATCAGCCACCAAGTCGGCCACAAACGGCCCAATACCTGAGTCTACTGCTCCCTTTTCAGAAGTGGCAGATCCAGGCTGTGTAAAACTGACCTTAACCCAAACTTCAATTCCAGATTCCTTTCCCAGGTTTGGGGCTCATGGTGTGGATGTTATTCAAACACTGGGGACCAAAGGACAAGAAAAGGGAAAGGAGGTTGGAGTGGGTGGTGTTATCCATCATAGTTCACATCATTTGGACCCACAGGAAGACTTTTCTCATTTAGCCACATTTCCAAAAACAGTATCTTCTCCAAAACGTGCAGAGATCGTCGATGTTTTCAGACAGAAGGATGACGAAGAGGGCGTGCACAGTGATTCAACAGAAACTGCTTCAGACTGTGAAAATGAGACTCAGGAGGATGAGCAGCAGCAGCAGCAGTATTCTGACCCCAACTGGAGCTCCCAGCTCAGCACCCAACGAAATGGCCAGTTGGTGATCTGTAGCCTTTCTTCTCAAAACCAGCAGCCAGTGATTCAGGGCTACTTGTCTAGCCACAAAGGGCAGACTGTCATCCAGCCTTGCTTCCCCAAAGGTCTGCCTCAACTGCATGACAATCAGCCTCATTCCCAAGACCACCGCTCTTTTAGTCCTTGTTCACAAGGAAAAAAAGAAAACATTGCTTTAAAAGTGGAAATTGGAGAAGACTGTCAGAGCTCTAAAGAAACTTATACTGAAGGGGAATGTTGTGGATCTTTAAAGTCTCCTGTCGCTCAGCCAAATGGCTTAGTGGCCTCCAAAAAACTGACAAGCTCAGCCAGGCCTGTGTCCTCTGTAGAAGCCAACAACCCTTTGGTCACACAGTTACTACAAGGCAGTCTGCCTCTTGAAAAAGTTTTACCATCACATTCTGCAAATAGGCTTGCTTTTAGCATATTACCTGGTCAACCAGCAAGACTCCCAGAACCAAGGAGCCTTGAAGCTGGCCATAGGTCTGAATTTTCTGTCCAGTGTCGTACTCCAGATTTGACTCATAACCTTCCGAAGTCACCCACAGACAGTCCACTCTCATGTCTTACAGGTGCCCAAGATGCACCTCAGTACCAGCCCCAACAAGTTGTTGGGGCTGTCCCCGTCATTACCTCTCTGCCCATTTCTTCAGGTTCTTTGTCATCCAAAGGCAAGTCAGAAGGTGTCTCTCTGGGTGCTCTAGAATCTAGAGTTATTAAAGAGTATTGTGGTCATCAACTTTCACAGAGGGACACTCCAGACCGGGTGCAACAATCTGATCAAATCATGTCCAACAACCCCTCTACTCCTGCAGAAACCTACCATGCGGACGCAATGTCCAGTACAAAGTTTAACATTCAGCTTTCACAGTCTCAGCATCCCCACTCTCATCAGAGAAAGCTGTCTCCTGCACCTGGTGTGAAAAATGAAATTAGCCCACGGCCTTCTTGCCAGGCCATTGCCAAGACTGTATCTACCGTACCTGGTGTGACTAAAAAGGAGCCAGGGAACTCCACTGATGGGTATTTAACCGGAGGAGCAATGGAGGGACTTCTCAACATGGAGATGACATTGACAAGGATATCAAAGAAAGAGCACAGCAAGACCCCCTGTTCATCCAGTTCCCCTTCCCCTCTTTCTCCTTTACCCTCGTCTTCAACATCCTCCCTTCCCTTCCAAATATATGGGAAGTTGCCTAAACAAGGTGGAAGTGGTGGAGTAGTAAGCTACACAGCTAATGTGTCAATGATGGATAACGGTGGTTTCTCCCGCGGTATGGCTGATGGCGTACTCCAGCTGCGTCCCCGCTTGGCCTCCAGCCACGCTACACTCAGTATTCAAGCTTTTACAGACACTACAGCTGAAGAAGTAGCACTTAAGTGCTCATGTCGCCTCAAAGCCATGATCATGTGCCAAGGCTGTGGTGCTTTTTGCCATGATGATTGCATCGGACCTTCCAAACTCTGTGTTTCGTGCTTGGTGGTCAGATAGTGTGTTCTAGTGTCCGTACACTGTAGAATCGCAGTCTGTAAAATACCAGCAGCATTATTGGGCAGCTTCGGAGTGTACAGAAGCCTAATGAGGCTGGAGAACACAGGGCAGTCCAGACTGGCAAAACATGTCTTGTAAAATAAGTTTCTTTTGTTGTTGCAGATTTTGTGAAGGTTTTTTTCTTTTCTTCTCTTCTTGGTGTATTGATTTATATTATTGTTGTTGTGAATCTGGGGCATGCTTAACTGTGTAAATCTTGCCATTTACCTCATTGTCTTGCTCCATTTTGCATCATTTGGAGGTCACTGTTTTTTTATGTCTTATTTGCTCTGCAAATAGGAACTGACTGTATGTCCAAAGAAATATTTTTTTATCCATTAAAACAAGTAAATAAAATGTCACCTTATTTGACTCATGCTATAATTATCTGCAACTAGGCTTAAATTTAAATGCAGTTGACATATGAAGGAACAATTATTGTTATTGAAAAGTGTTATGTTTTCCAGCCACATTGTATCATTTTATAGCGCTAAAATCACTGTTACAAAGTCAAAGAAATTTGACTTTGTAATTTAACACCTTTAAATTGGGCCTCTGTCTCTTTAAGAAAGTCCTGCTCTTTCCAGCTGTCTGGCTTCAGAAGGTTACCACAAGGTGGCGCAAGGTTTCACCGAGCATTTTGCACACCTGTATGGTTGCCACAGGAGATTAAGGGATTTCTCAGACATGCATGGAAGAATCGAAGCATCAACAACACGTATGTTTTCTATAACATGGAATAAAAACCAATCTCATCAGCTTGACCTCTCTGGATTCAATCCAGCGCAATGAGAACGTGCAGAAGTAACAAAAACACTTCATGAGCTGATTTGAGAAGTAGCCCAGTAAAGCTCAAAGTATTTTATATTTTACTATCCCTTTAAAAAACATTTGAATAGGGCTGAACGCATAACTTTTGCTATTAGTAATATTTCTAAGATAGATAAAAAATGTACTGGTGGCTTATGGATTTTCTGAGACATGGTACAGATTACATTCCATGTAGAAATTTTTATAAATTTCGTCATCCAGAATAAACTGAAAATTACTCAATTATTGATTTCAAACTTTAAGGAAACATGTCATGCAAATTTTGTAGGTAAGATTGGTTTTATGCCTGGAATTTATCTGAACGTTTGGACTGCAAGTATAAATCTTAAATACAAGTTTATGTACCTCTAAACTTTGATGTGTATCTATTAATATGTGCATGTTGTAGTGATTGTAGCATTAAGATGAAGAGAACCAAAGAAGCAGCCTGCGTTTGAACAGCTGAAACAAACCAAATGAGACGTTTCAGCCGTTGGGAGTTGAGTTCGATTCGCTGGTTTAAGTCTTGGTTGCATTTTGTTCTGCAGAATCTTCCTTCAGCTAGACACTTCTCCAAATTGCCCACAGACAGACTGTGAAGTTGGACCTTAGTAACCTCATTAAATTCCTAAGAAGCACCTTTGGCGCCATGAAAATATTCTTTTCCAAGACAAAGCTGCAAGAGGCAGGATGATTGGCGTGACCTGAGCAGCTGGGTGACAGGATGCTGCGTAGGAGCACTGGAGGTGGCATGCACCCCCACAGTTGGAAGTAACTACATTTACTCAGTTTCATTTACTTGACTGGCTTTTTTTTAAAAAAAGTACTTATAGGAGTATTTTTACACTGTACTTTTTGGTCTTGAGTAATTTTATTATAAAGTATCGCTACTCTTGTGTAAAATTTCTGGACTCTCCACCACTGGAGGAAAAACATGTTTTAACCAGAAATTCACCAGTCACAGACAGTTTTTGTTAAAGTTTCATACATTTTCTATTTAAAGACACTGAGTTTGAAAACTGTTTGTCTGATTTAGTTATTTTTGTTTTCCTTATATGAATTGTTGCTTTGGTCCTTCAAAATAACAAATTCTTCTTGACTTCATATTTTTGGTCCGTCCGACGTAGTTTTTAAATATTAAATGATAATTTGAACAGTTTCTCAGCACTTGATTCGACATGTTACCAAATACTTTTTTATTCTGACTTGAGTCATTTCTTGGATGACTACTAATTATTTTTGCTCGAGTAAAAATATGTTGAACAGTTCTACTCGAGTAATTTGTAGATCTCTATATAAAAGCATACTTTTGTATTCAATTTATTCTACAGATGAGGGAAATAAGGATTTGAAATCCCTGCGACTTTGCAAGTTCTCCCACTTAGAAATCATGAAGGGGTCTGAAATGTTCATCTTAGGTGCATCTCCACTGTGAGAGACATAATTTAAAAAAATGAATAATTACCTGGAAATCACCATGTATGATTTAAAAAAAAAAAAAAATTTGTGTGTTACTTCTGGAAATGTTTCTCGGCTGCCCTGGGAACGCCTTGAGGAGCTGGAACAAGTGGCTGGGAAGAGAGAGGGGAGTCTGGGCCTACTTACCGAGGCTGCGACCCCCGTGACCCAACCCGGACAAATAGAAGATTGATGGATGAATAAATAAATGCACACACAAAAATGTCACAAATGTTAAAACTGAAAAATAAAAATGTTTCACATATGAAATAATTCTTGTGTGGAATGAAAAAAGTTTTTCTTTCAATAAATGGTAGTTAAAATTAAGAACAAACAGGGGCATCGAGACACAGGCTGCATTGGGCAGTGAACTTTGCTCTCAGCTGACTTCAGACTTAAATACTGACTTCAAAGGGTGACTATTCATGCAGTCACTTATTTTATTTATTTATACGATATTGCCATTCTTTTGCAGAAGTCAATTTTTTTTCTACTTTGAAGCTAAAAAAAAAAGTAATAATTTTGATTGATTTGTAAAAGCAAAGTAAAACGGGATGGCATTGTTTTTCATAGGCACAGTGTTTTAATGATTGATACAGTAAACATTGTCTTTGTACCGTGGAGCTTTCTGGTGTGTTGCTGAAACGAGCAGTGGTGTCAGAATACCTGAAGAGTACAACAGATTTATGGTAGCTTTACTTTTATTTCAAGATGAAGGTAAAGGCTAATTAATTTACAACCATCATTTGCACATAGACAATAAAAAATAAATATTCACCATCACTTCTTGTTGTTGTTTTTTTTTTATAACCAAATAAATACCAAATATGCACAACTCCGCCTCCTTTCCTTTACTGTATAGCAGTGTATTCAAAATAGTTTGGGGAAATAAAAGGCAAAAGTACAGAAGCACAAAAATCTTTACAAAATTATTTAAAAACTTGTAGTTACAAAATTTTTGCACATAAAAAGATCCCAGTACATAAATAAACAATAAGATATAGAAAATAATTCATAGTTGATATCTTAAAATATTTCCTCTTTGTTCAGCCATGAAGGAAACGACCATTTGTCTCTTATTGTGTTGGAATATTTTAAATTCGGATTTTTGAAATAACTTAAGAAGCAGATAAATAATAATAAATAGCTAGAAATGCAGCAAATCAGAGAAGTTAGTTGTTCAACTAACAATTGCACAGGACACAAATAGATACACAAAAATAGCAAAATAAACCTACAAACTAGGTATTGGAGGTGCAACAACACTAATTCTAACGTAGAGTACTATCAGATTTCTTGGGATATGATAATAACTAAGTCACTTAAGCTCAGGCTATTTTCTGCTTTTTTTCATTTTGTTCTGCACACATTTCCTGGTTATGCACTTTGTCTTCCTGACTTAAAGTAACTTGTGGATACCAGTGCGGTGACACACACCCGACATGCAGTCGTCTGTTCTGGCTCATACGTCATCCAACCACATGCTTAAAACCCCCCCCCAAAAAAACCCCTAATGGTGTTATTAAATAACCGAGTAGGAAGAATGATCACATACAATATGTAAGAACTCAGGAGAAATGTGGCAGCTGCTTGTTTTGTCGTCGTCTTGCATCATACCTCTATGCCTTTTACTGCTTGACTGACGGACTCCAGCAGGGCCCGGGTGTCGGGGTTTTGGTAGCAGTCTTTATTGGTGAACATGTACGTCAGAGTCTCCACATAATTATCGAAGTTCTGCTCGGAGACCGGCTCCTGCTGAAAACATGAGTTCAGAGGTCAAGATTAGTAGTCAGGATCGAGTCATGCATTTGTAGGGTTGATCTGGATCGTCTGTGTGGAGAATTGATCCGTTCTCCACGCTGAGTTCTTGATGTACGAGGTTGAGCAAGAGTCAGTGAGTTGAATTCATACATTCTATTTATTAATAGGTCCATTTCTCATGCTACCTTTAGGAATTAGCAGTACAAAATGGCGTCAAACAAAAGTTTTCCATTTTCTTTGTTACCTAGGGTGTCATACCCTTTGACCCTGGCTCTCATTTGCATTTCCTAACATGTCATTTTCTTTATTCTCAACATCAGACATCCAGCTAAATCAGGCCCTAATTTATTGGATTAATTCACAATATATGACGTAATAAGTCCAGCACTGATGTTCCAAACAGCACTACACTGGTATGGAATAAACATAGGCAACTTCTCTTTAATATAAATGATCAAACAAAACAACAACAACAACAAAAAGTAATTCCACCTTCAGGTTGAAATATTTTAACAATCTCACTAAGTAAGAAACAGTTAACTGAGCGACCAGTGAAAATATGAGAGGCCCTGACTCTGTCCCTATGAATGCGGAGCGGTTCAATTGTCCTGCGTTGTCTCCGTGCTGCAAGCCTGGGATGCTGCTCTCTCTAATTTCACAGTTCCTACATGTTAGGAGCTACATAGATCAATATGAAGTCACTGAAGTACCTGATTCACACGCAACAAAAACCTTCAACCAGTAATCGATCTGCAAACCTTCAAAGATCTCACACACGTGTTGCTCTTCTGGATGGAAGAGGTCAGAGACAAGACAGAATGACTATCAATAATAAAAATATATATAAATAATACTGTTGAAGATTAGAGTTTTGTTTTCTGAAGTTGTTATTCTCTAATTTTATTTTAGTTTACATTTACATTATTTCCTGTCATATTTACTATATTTCAGTTCTCAGCATCAAATTGTCAAACAAAATGTGATGCGATCGATAAAATTTGAAACAAAGATCTGATTCTGGATGTAATCGATTTAATTGGACTTTGGGAGGATTCTTTACCTTTAATATTCATTTGGCCATGTAACGGGTTTCCTGCTCTCTGTTTGGAGTTAATATTCATCTGTGTTTGTTAAATAACACGGCGTAACATTAAAGTTTAATCATGGTCTTTTTTTTGTGTGTTCTTGTGAAAACCTGAACCATGATTTCGATCACGTTTCGCCAGGCTGCGTGTGAATATTTGTACCACATGCCTGAAAAGTTGCAGCTCAACAAAGAAACCGTACCTACAGCACACAGTGTTTTAGACCCAGCTGGATGCATTAAGCATGCAATATAATGTAAGGATATAGTTGCCTTCATGCAGACAAACATACATTAGTTATACCTTTGATCCAGATGTATGCACCTTTTTGAGCCGTATGCCCCACTGACAACGTTTAACCTTTTCTTCCCATTGTTTCCCACCAAATCTCTACGACTGCAGTGCCTCCATGATGACACATCCAAACAACTTTGTCAGAGGCAAAGCAGGTTTAGTTTTCCTCCAGGTAAGGGTTGTTTCACATCAGAGGAAGAAAAATGTAATTTCTGAAAAGTCATGTTTGTTTCACAGAGGCATTACAAGCTCCATCAAAGTATTTGAAAGGAATCCTCTGCACATGCTGTTTAAAAACCCTTGGATTTAAGTTTCTACCTGTTTACACCCCGATAAAAAAACATAAAATGAAAAAAAAAAAATCTACTTCTGTTTCATTAACCCTCTGAAGACCAGGGAGGAAGTGTAAGCTTAATTACATGTTTTAAGAAATGATATGAATTTCCTTAGTTTGAACATAACTCACCATGGTAGGCAGGCGGATGTTGGCCAGGCTGCGAATCAATACCTGACTCAGACCAGATAACTCCAAGAACAAAGCTTCATTCTTCTCCTCTATCTGTTTGTTTTCCTCCTCCATGCTCTTGAGGTTCTTCTCCATTGAAGAAATCTGTAGCAGAAAGACAGAAGCTCTGTGTCGGGTTGGGCAAAAGACAGATGTCAAATGTTCAACCCTGGTACTTTGATTGACACGTTTCCAAGTTTGAGTGGAGTGTAATTAAAGCGGCAGGCAAACTGCACCCAACGACTGCAGAGCCATCTGCAGAGAACTTGCATTGATCTCACCTGAGTGTGCAAATTCATCATGTCAGCCTCCATCTCTGCGTTGGACTCATTCAGTTCACTGATGTCCTTGTTCAGCTGCTTGATGTCTTCATCATTATCCAGAACTGGTTGACACAATCACACACAATGTGGAAACATGTTATATCTGCCTCTCATGTATTGCAGTAGGAGCTTCCTTTCTGGGATGGAGCTCCATGTTTTGGTGTTGAATCAGATCATTTGGATTCAGGTCAAAATGAATCAGAATGCAGGAGAATAGAAAGGAAGTTTGTGTCTTGTACAAGCGGTGTGGCTCCCCCTGTGACCTTCCTCCTCGACAAAATGTCCTTCCTACACTGGGCCCTTGTTTTTTTTTCTTATCTTTATTAACAGCGTCTGACATTGGGTCAGGCCACTGTTAAATAAAGGCCACCACAAAACACTTGGGTTTTTCAAGATCTTGTAAATATTTTTCCGGTGACAGAAGGCCAAATTTGCAGTTGTCCTTTTGTGTCTGTGAGATTTTGGGCCAGCTCAGCACTGCTGAGTCGGCAGTGTGCTCCGACTCTTGATTGTTTTCCTCCTTTAGCCATAAAATAATTCCTTCAGTTTTGTTCTCATTCAGCTGAAGAAAGCTGTGGCACATCCTCGCTCTGGTTTGATCTATGCTCCATCCGTGTGTCATAAACAAACTCATTTTATATTCCACACATCACTGACCACGGTGACTGCAATTAATTTACCAAAGAGCAAAGGAACAAAATATGATTGGTTTTTTTTTTATGCCTAAAATGATCTAAATAAAACAGTGCAAAGACATGGGAAATGTCATCACTGTGTTCGTCTTACCGTCGCTCGCTCTGAACTTTGCTGTTATATATTCGTCTCCAGGAAGCTTGACTTTCTTCTTGCTGGCTGGAGCTCTCGGGCAACCTGAGAGACTAAAGAAGATTCTTGTCATGATTTTTATAGCTGGATCGACAGATTTTGGAGCCTCAAGGAAAGAAGAAATTACTTTATCAAAAATGGCTTTATTTTTGTCATGTGTCTTGATATGACTAAAAAGAGGGATGAATGATTAAAGATTCTGTATAAATAAAGTTGCCTTGCCTTATACATATCATTTTCCTTTGCCAGATTATTGCATCAGTGTGCCCCTCCCACATCCACTGCATAGTTAAATTTCATCAATTTATTGTAAGATCATTTTTTTGTCGCACTGTACTGTAAAATTCAAATTTTCACTGAAATGCCTGCTTGCTGATTCCTGTATGTTATTGTGGGATGATAATAATAAATAATAATAATAATATAACAACAAAAAACTGTTTAAAAATAAAAAAGCATTTCTAAAAAGTTCTAACTACTGCAGAAATCTCGACTTCATAATGTTTGTAAACTTTCACTTTTGTGCCATTAGGATAGTTACAAACATAATTCTTTGAAATCTACATTGGTCAATACAGAATAGTGTTCAACATCCAGCCACTCCACATATCCAAATGTACTTTGGTGAGACACCAAAACCAACATTTTCTACAAAAAGCAGGATACCTGCGGTGTGTCAAGAAACTGCCATTAGCATGACCAGAACCATCACAGCCTGGTGTTGGGCAGGTCGGGCCTTCGGTCTTAAAGGCCTTCCAAGAGAAAGGAGTGCCATTTAGTAGACCTTCCCTCTGTCGCTTTGCTGCAAGTGGACAGCCATAGGCACTACGGTGGGTAGCATACTTTCCACTGATGTGTCCAAGACTGTCACAGCCAGGAACTGGACACCTGGAGATGAGCAGAAATCCCAATTTGACCAAATGCTTTCTTCATATCCCATTCAATACATTTTTTGGTGAATGCATGTTGGTAAGGTAAAATGTTTTAGAATTGCACATAAACTATGGCCTTTGCAGTTTGATCTGACTGACATTTAAAATCGTTTTTTGTATGTTGTCACTATCCTGACATAAACGACTGTCCGGCCCACAACGACGACCGCATCATTAATTTGCTGATGACACCATGGTGATCAGACTCATCTCACAGGGTGATGAGGCAGAGAGAGTTTTCAGAGAATCACCTCAAGAGACACCAAGAGGTCACCAAGTATTTCAGGGAGCTCAGCACCGACCCTGGTACTCTCCATACCATGGCGAGAGTGTGAAGAGGGTCCACACCTTCAGGTTTCTTGGCGTCCTCATCTCCGCCAACCTCTCCTGGACTAACTACATCACAGCAGTGATCAAGGAGGCTCAGCAGCAGCGACACTTCCTGAGAATCCTCAAGAAGCACAAACTGAATCCCAAGCTGCTGTTGACCTTCAGCTCATCCATTGACGGCCTGCTGACATACTGCATCGCACCAAGGTACGGCAGCTGCACTGTTGCATACAGAGTGAGGCTTCAGAGGGCTGTTAAAACCATTCAGGGGATTGATGGCTGGATGATTGGCTTTTATATTGCATTTTGGATTTGTACAACTGACTCTAAAGGAATCAGACCTCACCAGTCATGAACCTCACTGCTACCTGTGGCAGTGACAGTGAAAAGGGTCTATTGAATGTAGCTTCACTAGTGTGTTTTCTTTTGAGGTAGATGCTGTAGTCTGCAGAAACATTACAAGTGCTTTTACCAGCTGCATTATTATTATTTTGCCTAACTATAAAGTATAGACAGCACAATCATGCAAAAATCATCAGCTGTTTGCTTGTGTTTATTTGTCAATGTAATGTCAATCATTGAAGGAAGCGACTTTACCCAACTATAAAATTTCATCCACTGTCTGAAGCTCACTCAAAGCCCGAACCAGAGGCCGGAAAATTGGCAGAAACAGATGCAACCGAAGTAAAAAACTAAACAGCAGTTACATACACAAATAGTCCAACACACTTTGATCAAAACTTAGCAGTTCATTCGCATCTCATTGAGAAGGAACACTGGTTTGAAGAGAGAGAAGAGCGTATTTGTGACAGGGAAGACAGGCATCGTGAGCCGTCTATGTCAAAATAAATAAATAAACAATAACAAAAGAGGTTCAGTGTCGATGGACTTCATAATTCTCTGTAGCCTTGACTCGTCTTCTAACGCAGTGACATTCACACGCTAAGACCAAGCAAACATGCTAGCATTGAACCTCAACAATGGACCAGAAAGAGTAGTCAGATCTATGAATGAGACTTTTCTGATTGATCCTTCAAACGCATGACGAGAACTGAAAAGCCTTTTCCATAAACAAGAAGAAATGATCAGCTGCCTGAAAGCTGATCATTCTATTTAACCCTAAGAATGAAAAAGAAGCTTTTCTTTTCTGTAGACGGTATTAATACAGTAGAATTTAAAATTTTGTTGCGTTAAAGCAATATAATAACATACCAACCAAGACAAAGTATTGGGTTGGTATGATAATCAGCCTTTAAGATAACTGAACGGTTCGGTCTACTGATATTTTAAGAATGCATTATAACACTGTCCTCCCAATATTATCCATGAACTGCTAGTATAACAGAAAACAGAAACAGGAATGACATTAGATACAGTCACTTACCTCAGCAGCTCAGATTCTTCCTTGTCGTCCTTGGAAGGTGCTGATTTGACTCCTCCTTTCTTGGCCCGTGGACATCCAGACAAACTGGCAAAGTCACACGTTCAAATGTCAACGCTTTTGCAAAGTGAGGAGGCCGAATAATTAAAGCGCAGCTATTAATCAGTATTCATTATTATTTAGATGTCATCTCATTAGGTGTCATTACTTTACTTGTTTGGATCAAAATGCAAATGTGAGGAGCTCCCACCTCCTGTGCGACGCATAGTTTCCAGTGATGTGGCCCGATCCGTCACAGCCTGGAGTCGGACACCTGAGACACATGTAGGCAGGCTTTCAGCACACTTTTTTAAAAAAAAAAAAAAAAGTTTCCTCACTATGCACCTAATTGTTACTGTTGTATGCTTCCAGCTAGATTTCCACCACCCTTATTTGCTGTTTTCATCTTTTAATCGAATTGAAGCATGGAGATGAGAAAATGGACCGAGCCAGAAGCTGCAGAGCTTTCAGTAAACTTGTTGAGGTTAAGTCAGGAAACAATTAACTCAATAAAACACACATACTTCAGTTCAGCTGTGTGGGCAGCCATGAGGGTCCGAAGTGATTTATCAGCAAGAGGACAGCCTGACAGACTGAAAAAGTAGAAGGAGAGAGTCAGAAAACAGAAGTTAGAACAGATGGAAAGAGCGAGAACACAAGCTCAACCAGAACGGAAGTCAAGTCAGAACTGGGCTGCACCCATAAGAAGAGATGTGCTGCATTATCTACCTGAGCTGTGTAATTGTTAGAAAAATAACAAAAATATGGATCACCATGCGCAGTGTAAACAATGTCATTTGCTCCTGAAAACGTTTGTTCAAATTTAAAAAAAACTAAAAAACACTAAACTCACAAGCTGCCTGAATTAGACAGAAAACACAGGAAACAGACGGTGCCGCAGTGTTTCTTCTGAAGATGACAATCTTCAAATTGCAAATTATGCATGTGGACAAAACTGTTGGGACACTGGTGCTACAGCTGCTAAGACAACAAAGATCCTTGAATCCTTCAAATTAAAATGAAGGTTAATATGAACGGTAAACAAAGAGCCCAGAACACACAAAAAGAAAGAAAGAAAAGAAAACCCTAACCCTAAGAAAAAGAAAAGAGGACTGAAGTAGAGAGCCTTAAGTCGTTGCGACTGCATGCGCTGCTGTGATAACCACAGGAACAATATCACAGATGTGTGGTCAGGGATGAAGAAGATCACAGGCTTCAAGCAAACGGAGGATTGGACAGATGAAAGTCTGGACAGAGCAAATGAGTTGAACACATTGTTCAATAGGTTCAGTTGTGGAACAAGCTCAGCCCACCCTGCTTTGACCCACAGCTTTCAGACGCTCTGTCTTCCACCTCAGTCAGGGACTCTTCTGCTTCTACAAGTTTGCTCAGATGTCTCTGCTGTTATCGAATGTGTCATAGATGGACAAGAATCTGAGTAATGTTTTACTGCTTTGTCCGTCAGCTTGCTTATGATTATAGATTTCCGGAGAAATAGGGTTCATTCAAACCCTATTCCATGAGAAGAAGTGGAAGTTTATGGCTTAATTGCCACAAACTGTGCAAATTAGACCTCTGATAGGTTGGTGCAATGATGAATATGTTTCAAAATGGCAAACTCTGAAAATTGGTTGGAAGAATATGGAATTAAGAAACTGAATAGCCCACAAAGGACAATTGGTATAAATAAGTTGGATTTAAAAACTAAAATTACAATTGAAACTAATAATTATAAATTAGAGAAAGAAACCAGGAGCTCGAGTTGGTTTACTTGGACCTCAAGTTTATGATAAAGGGTTTGAGTTGCTGAGTTTTAATAACTAAAAGACAAACTTTGGAGTAGGCAACTAAGATCAATATTGATATTTACGGACAAGAGATTATTGTGAGAAAGAGATACAAACCAACATAAGTAAAACAGTGACCACTGGTTTTAGCTGTCGAGCTGCTAATGCGCTAAATCTTAAATGTATGTATAACAGAAAAAAGACGGATTGGTCTGAGAGCCTTACGTTTGACATGTTTGTTCCTCCATATAAAGTGGCGACTATGTTAGCTCATTACAGCTCCAGTTGCACCTGAGAGGTGGGTGTGACAGGTATAAAGGTGGCATCAACACAGTGTTTAGGTCTCTCTCAGCTTTCTGTCTCCCTCTGCCAGGCTGGCAAACTGGTAATGTTATTGTTTATAGCTGGATGTATTACTTTTGTCAGTTTTAAATTATTGTGGGCTTTTAGGTCACAAAGTGTTGCCAACAATTTTGCACATGTGTGTGAAGAAGCTGCTAAAAGAGGATAAGAAGATTCTTATTGATAAAAGGGGTTTTCTGAAATTGGTGTGTTCTTAAATTTTGCTACAAACATTTTGAAAATAACCCAAGAAGTATGTTGAATTCACTTGACTGTCACTGTCAGCCTCATGTTACATTTATTTAATCTTTGATAACTTTATAAAATAAATTTATAGAAATTTACAGGACCACTGATCACAAATATGTTGGCTTTTATGTATTTATATTCATAGTCATAAGTAACATATGAGGAAAAAATAGGACTGTTTTAAATGACTAAAGGTAAGTTCATAACTACAGCCTCAATATTCAGTCATTTACTTGTCAGTTACATTAAAAAATATACTGACAAATATACTTAACATGATAATTAAAAAATTAAAAAACTCTTTCGTAATACACACTCAAGGTCTTACCTTCGATGTGACGCATAATTGCCAGTGATGTGCCCACTGCCATCACAGCCTGGTGTTGGACATCTAAATCAAAGAAAGTAATAATGGTGGATTAGACCTGAGCCAGGTTCTGCTGTGGGTTTCTTCCTGTTATCACATGTTGAGTGAAGGCTGCGAGGCAGTGACTCCATGATGGCTGCTAGGTTTTCTTGAACAGAAGCCTTCTTTGGGCGATTTTAATATATTGCATCAGTTGCAATGGATGTATAATTTGATTGACTTGATTTTCTCTTCTTTTTTTTGTAAAGCAAGTTGTGTCGTGGGCTCCCGGTGTTGAAAGATGACATGTTGTGACTATATGCTATATAAGTGAACCAAAATGAACTGAAATGAAATTACACAAAACAAAATCTTCAAAAGATTTCTTGCACTCAGCATCTACCATAATTACATGTGATGGCAGACACAGGTTTGTGTGTGAAAGAGTGTCTCTATTCTGTGGAAACAGAACCAGATGCTTTAGTTGTGGCTTTGCTGTGATTCTGTTCAGCCAGTAAACATGTTTACACTACTGCCATCTTTTAGCGTAAAATGGCATTGTACCAGAAATTACTCTGGGTTGTTTAGTTTCTATAAATTTTAATACAATATTATATAAGTCGCCAAGTTGTTCACTCTGAAGTGTATTCTGGAGTAAATGACATCTAAAGGTCCAACTGTGCTAGCTCCGTCCAGCCAAAACAGCGATGGGGACGTAACAAGAGGGAATGAAGATGAGGAGGACCAAACAGAGGAAGAGGACAGCGTTGGCTGAAGAAGCTGGTGTTTTGCTGCTTGTCGGATTGGTGGTTTTATATTCAGTACTGCCAGAAGTATAGCTCTGTTAGCATTTCACATGCCCTATTTTCATGCCCATTTTAAAATGGGAAGATCTTGAACTTACACAATAACTTCTTTTTTGCTGTCTTTGGGCTGAAACTTGACTTTAAAACTGCTGGTAGTGACTTCACCGGGGTATTTCCGGTCCTCTGAGTTTTCTTGGTTCTCTTCGTCATCATCAGATGATGTATATGAAGGAGCTGTGTATTCCATCTAGTCAGAAGTAAAAAATAGGGGATAAATGGCTAAGATACTTTTGAAAAAGTTTTAATGCATATACAGTTGCTACAGGCATGGGACACTGATATTTCCTCCTTTCCTTGAGCTTCTGTTTTGTACAGAGATGTCCTGTAAGTGAAAAAATCCATTACCTCTTCATGGTCTTCCTCCTTGTCTTCACTGGATTTGGTGAAATCTAGTGGACCGTCCCAATCTGACTGAGGATGGTCCTGAGACAACGTGGCATCCACAAGTTGAGAGGAGGAAGGCAAAGAACATGCAGTCTCTGCAGACTGTATGTCCTCTCTCTTGGTCTTTTTCATGCTGAGGTCCAAGGTGCCATTCTCATCCACCTCAATCGCGACCTCCTGCAGTATTAAAATGAATGGTGAAAGTGAAGTATGGGATAGATGTTGGGCGTAACTGAAAAAGCCATTGTTCACATCCTAAACTGGCTTTGAGCCTCACATCAGGCATGTCAGCGTCACTGATGTTCTCCTGGGGTGCAATTGTACAGTAAGCGGCTTTAGCTAAATCGTTCTTTAGTGTCCATTGCAGCAGATACCTTGGTGCAAGGCTCCTGGAGTTTAGTGCTGCAGGTTTCCGGTCTCTCCCAGCAGCGGGTGGACAGGTTGAGGATTGCTGTTGCTGCCATATGGGCTGCCTCTGCATCCTGGCTGTAGTCGTAACCACTAGAGGACGGGGTGTTCTTGGCAAAACCTCCTGATGTGCCATGGCTTGGGGAGGACGCCTTGGAAAATGGTTTAGCTGTGTGCAAAGGGCACAAAAATAAATACATGGGTTAATGGATTGATTGATATGGGGTCTTCAACTATGTGAGCTCTCATTTACCAATCAATCTGTGTTCCACCCTCATCTGTGCTCACAAGCTCTAGGTAGTGACCTAAAAAACAAGACTGTAAAGTCCGGCGGCTTTATTGAGTTTCCTCCTGGGTGTCTGGGCTCTCCCTTTGAGGCAGAGAAACTGAGAAGGTCAGCTTTCCAGCAGGAGCTCCTTCACATCAAGGGTAGCTAGCGGAGGTGTCTCGGGGAAGGACACCCAAGACACCTTCGCCAAGGTGGCTGTGTTTATCAGTCGATTGGAGGATCTGGGGCGGACTGGTTTATGTCTCTTGCCACACCAGAAATTGCATTGCCAATTTTCACAACATTTCTGAATGTAACAAGCAATCATTTTATTAACCTTTTAACTGTCACCACCAAAAGAATCAGGCCAGTGGGTCCATGAGGACGCTGGTGACACTGGTGTCATCATGATGGTAAATCAAAAAGAAGGGATCTTGTTCTGCTAGATCAAGATTTCTTCTGTGCAATAAAAACATAGTTTTTGTGCAATAATTTGTACATAACTTGCAGTATGACAATTTAAGCTTCTTAACTTTACACATTTTCGATGTTCACTCTTCATATCTGAATTTAAATGGACTTAATTGTCTGTGTCTTTATTGCTTTTATGTTCCCTTGCTGGGTAGAATAAATTTCTTTGAATCGTGAATCAAATTACTTCAAGCTCAAATTGGTGTTTATTGTAATGTGTGCAATATCATACAGAGTTGCTTGAACAAACATGATGCTTTATGCAGGACAGCAGCGCCGTCATCCTGCCGGGACTCAAACCTGTGAGGGCAGCATCAACCTTCACCCCTGTGCCACCACAGAACCCGCTGGAAACATTCAAGACTCGTTTTGTGGCAAAATCTAGAGCAGGAGTTAGACTTACATTTGAAAACTTTAGCGGATGTGTCAGTAGTGTCGGGCGTCTTTGGAACAATCATACGCTTTCCAAACACTTGGACGTCAAAGCTTGCATAGTCAAAAGAAACCTTGGAGTATTTCTCCAGCTCCTTGGCAAGGTTAGCTCGAGGTGTGGTTGTCACTGTGTTGGGACGGTAGCTGCCGTACTGAGGGATCTCCAGCTGTTTCACAAAACACATCGGCCTGCAAGAAAAATCACGGGTTCGACCAAAATGCCTCAGCAGACATGGACTTCCATCGAGGTGAAGATGAAACAAAACGTTGTTTCCTGTCTTGCCTTAGCACTCTGTCAGAGTTGGAAGTTGGTTCACTGGCTGAAGCTTGTAGATGAACCTGCTTGTCCTGGTTCTTGTTCAGCTTAGCTGCTGCTGCTATGGGGCAACCGGACAGGCTGAAAAAGGTTGAAGATCCAAACATGAATTTTTAATTAGCAACGCAAACATGGAGATTTTTATCTTAGATGATTTGTTCAAACGTGTGTTAGTTCTATTAGAGGACATTAATTTGTCTTAATTTTCTGCTGCTTATTTTCTAAATGTATCTTTAAAATCAGTCCTATATTTTGAAATGAATAATAAAGAGAAATTATACTAAAGCATAAAATGACCTGCTGTGTGCATGCCTTTGTGTGTGTGTGTGTGTGTGTGTGTGTGTGTGTGTGTGTATGTGTGTGTGTGTGTGTGTGTGTGTGTGTGTGTGTGTGTGTGTGTGTGTGTGTGTGTGTGTGTGTGTGTTTGCTTTAACAACCTGCGGTGTGTGTTGCGGTTACTGTTCACATGACCTTGGCCGGTGCAGCCGGGAGTGGGACACTTCAAGACATTTTCGTGCATGGCCAAAACTACAGACAGCAGAAGTAGACTAAGGTCAGTATATTTAGAATAGGATGTGTACGATGAGCAGTCAGTCTTCAGTAGTAGTGTTAGTTGAACTGATTATGTTAAAAGTGAAGACTTCTTCATTGTCTGTCTTGATTTTCAAGACCGAAAGATGACAGAAGCATTTTTCTTCTCATCCAAAATGCCTGCGCCATCTTTAGCTTATTGCAGTCGATCCCAAAGTTGTGATCAAAAACATGGAGGGTTGTGAAATGTCAGGAGTTCAATAAATTTTTGAAGTGACATTTTTAATTTAAAAAAAAATAGCATGAAACAGCAGATTGGTCGATCCGTCTGTGTTTTCACACCCTCCTTTTATTGTTCCGTGAGTGAAATTGTTTAACTTCCACCGTCCCCAGCTGTAGGGTGAAAAGTCTGGGAACCAGTGGGTGATGTACTCACTCTCTGGAGGTATTCTGTCTTTGTGTGGACATCCAGAAAGACTGCGGTGGTGAGGATACAACCCGGTGATGTGGCCTGTTCCGTCACAACCTGGAGTTGGACACTTTACTTCCTTCTTTTCTGAAAAGATGTGAAGAAGCTTAATTAAATGTCATCAAAACACAAGAGGACAAGAGGCTTATGAAAAAAAAGTATATTTTGCTTGTACTTTAACTGATTACGGGAAGATGATTTGTTTCTTATGTCCAACATGGGCGAGACCAAACAATCCATGTATCTTGCGTTTTTCTAATAAGACTCCATGTCACACAGTTGGACACAAACCTAATTTCTTCAACATTAAATATTTGAATCAGAACGTCAAATCTTTGCCATATTAATTGCAATAACAAGTCGGCAGGGCTTGCAGTGAGACGTGCTGCTCTATGTCATGGGTGTCGAACTCAGTTTAATTTTGGGCCAAATCAAGATCATGAATGTTCTTAAAGGGCCAGTTGTGCCAGAATCCTTTGCTAAAACCTGTTAATGAATTGTTGAAATATAAACTAACTCTTAAAATTAAATAATATTGAATATCTCTCCAGTCCCTCTAGGATTTTGCAACTGTCTTTGGGATGTTTTTGCAATACAAATCAACATGTTTGTGGTTCCGATTTTGAAATGCTTGCACTTTTGTATGATGGGAAATAGGACATTTTTTTACTCGCTGTGTCGTTATGGATTATAAATAAAGTAAAGCTGAGACAGATGCTTCGTAGAAGCAAGAGACACGTCCACCTGCAGCTGATGGTAAACAGTCAATTGGATCCAATATTTTTCACCATTTTTTGGCAAAAATCTACAATAAACTCACAATGACGCTTCAGTGCAAAAAAATATAAAATAATGCAGGGCTTTGTTGATTTTATGTGCATTTACACAATAAATCAAGGACTTTACACACAATCAGTCTTGACATAAAAACAGTGTTGAAACTGATTGATGTTATTTAGCAGATGAAAACTGCTTTGATTTGATTGAAAAAAATTATGTTTAAGCACACCGTTATCTTTTTTGACGGTTCTGGGGCCACATAAAAAGCTACAGCGGGCCAGATTTGGCCCTCAGGGCCTTGAGTTTGACGCCCGTGCTCTGTGTTATTGGCACACAGTGTACCTTTGCTACAGTGGGTGGAGCGGCGGACTCCGGCAGAACCGTCAGAGTTCTTCACGGAGGTGTTGCACGGTTGGTAGTCGACAGAACTGCTGCTCTCCTGACCTCCCTGGACCTCCTCTGCCTTCAGAGCGATGGCCTGCTCCAGCAGCCCCAGGTTCCCTCGAGTCATGTCCCAGTTTTCAGAGTCATCCGTGACGCCCGATCCCTCCGAGACGCGATCCAATTCCTCTCCCCTGTCTTCCTCCTCTTCCTCTTCCTCTTCCTCTTCGTCCTCCTCCAGTTCCTCGTCGTCTTCTTCCTCCTCCTCATCCTCCTCGTGTTCCTCCTCCTCTGCGTGAACTTCGATGATGACTGTGCTCGGAGAGGCTTTGCTTGAGTTTCCTTCTTCTTCCTCGTCGTCTTCTTCATCTTCTTCTTCCTCGTCTTCTTCCTCTTCTTCTTGCTCCACTTTTCTGCTTTGCTTCTCCTCTGCTGCTTCTTCCTCGGCCCTGAGGGTGTCGCACTGCTCTTCCCCGAGGGACATAGTTGCTTCAGATTCCTGAATGAAAACTGTCTCAACTTGTCTCACTGCTCCATCGTCTTCGTCCTCTTCCCCCTCCTCCTCCTCTTCGTCCTCTGCCTCCTCCTCTTCTTCAGTCTCATTGTTCTCTATTGGTTTTGACTCTTTGGCCTGATTTTTGTAATCTCCACTTGAGTACTGGTGATCAGAATTTTCCTGCCTGATCATCTGTCTTCTTATCTCCGTCTCTTCTGCAACGTTCCTCTGACTTTCCAGTTCGTCCTCCTCCAGGTTTGCTTTTTTTGCTTTATCTTCTTCCTCATCTTTTGTCTCTTCATGGCAGGGGACAGTCGTTTCTTCTGCTGAGAGCTGTGATGGGAGGCAGGCGGGTGCGGACTGGACCTCCTCTTCCTCTGTGATTATCACACATGTTACGTCCTCGCTGAAGTTTTCTGCCTCCACTTTGTTCTCAGTCTCTGAGGTGATACTTCCGCTCTTATCATCAGGTGAAGGGCAAGGTTGTTCTGGGTCGTCGATGGTCACCGAGGTACGTTCAGCTGTGGAACCCAAGTACGCAAAAATGTCAGAGCTGCTATGTTGTTCATCTGTACGTAAAAAGATTGGAAACAGATTTGTGCGGTTGGTCTAAGCAACAATAAAAATTGTTCACATTCGCATTTTTGTGCTGAAACAAATAGGAAAAATGTGTGAAAGATTGAGTGACGCACCTTTTCCCGTCTCGCTCTTTGTTTCCTTTTTCTTTTTGTCTTTGACGGCATCTTTTTCCTCTCTGTCTTCCTCATTCTGCTCATCCTCTTCTGCCATGTCACTGTCCTCATCGGCCTGTTTGTTAGGCTGGGTCTTCTTCCTGGGCGACAGCGGGTTCTCTTCGGTCTCAGCATCCTGAAGCTTCCTTTTCTTTACAATTGGGCACCCTAGCGCGCTGAGCGCAGGATGGACAAAACGAAAGAACTGTAATGTTGCATCACACTCGGTCAGCGAACCGCATGGTGCGTTAATTTGACTGGAAATGAATGTTTGGCCAAATAAATGATGGGGTTAAAGTCAAAATGATGCAAGAACACTGATGATGGGGCAGTATCATAAATGTGGAGAAAGTTGCTTTCACAACAAATCTGATAAAAGTTCTCTATTATTGTCTCCATATTTTAGAGCTGCAATTCTCCAAGTGTGTCTGCAGGAATTCATGTGACAAAGAAAACAAACAGACGAAGGCCTGAGGGAGGTGCTTCCTGCATACAATGAAACAAATGAAATTTCCAAATCTCTCTTGTGAGCTAGATCTGTTTACTTGTGTGAATAAAGTTGAAATAACAAAATGATACTGTTTAATTTAATTAAGGTCATCCTTCAGAGATGATGGAAGGATGACCTTGTCTGCCAGTTCACAACAGCAAGGAACCAGAGGGCCATTCATCAGGAAAACAATGCCACCCTAAAAGGAGCTGAGGAGAAACAACATGGTTTCCTCTTGAGTGCAGGAAATGTTTTATGTTTCCTGCACTCAGTGATTGATTGCACTCAATCACTGAATTTATAATATGGACGTCTCCTCCCTCTGTTTGCCCTACAAAAACAGAAAGTCCATCATCTACAGAAGTAAATCGTCAGGCAGATTTTTATGACACATTTATATTGTTGATGATAAGACCTGCACTCAAATGATTGCTTATCATCTCTGGTGGATCCCCACCTTCTGTGTCTGGAATATCTTCCACTGACGTGACCTTTGCCATCACATCCAGGGGTGGGACAGCTGCTGCAGGCGGAAACCAAGAAAAAAAACCACGTTTCAAACACATCGCATTGCTTGATTTGAGAGCCGGTCAGGACAGGAGTACTTCACCTCATTTCCAGCTTCATTGCTTGTCCAACTTGTTCTGCTGACAGAGAGTAACGTTCCCCGCATCATCCGAGAACAGAAACAAATATCTCATGTTACACGTCTTGTAGCAGAATAGAAAGAACAGTTATCAATTGATCATCTTCAGGCTGCTGAATGCCTTCATGTCTGTCTTTTCACAAATATGCATTCATGGGGTTGCGTGATTTAAAGCTGGTGTTCTTTGCACGCCGTCCGATTAGCAAAGAGACAGAACAGCAGCCAACAGTCAATTCAAACCACAGCTTTCTGAACTCCTTATTGCCGTCACCGTCCACAATGCTGAAAAGTTGAAATCTTGCAAACCATGTTTCAGTTTGTTTCATTTTGATGAGTCAGAATAACTACAATTTTGACTCATCAGAAATGAGTCACTGTGTTTTCTGATCTCCACTGCAAATAGCCATCTATTATCTGCAACCTGTCCATGTATGGGGACAGAAGAGATGAACCTGAAACTGTTCTGGTTCATTTTTAAAATACCTTATATTTAATTTTTTTAACTTAATTACTGACTGATCACAGGACGTTGTGGATGTTCTAAATGGACTAACTTTTCGAATGAAAAGAGCCAGTGTACTTTGGGATCATAACCTTAAAAGCTTAAACTACCTGACGAGAACAACGTAACAGAGTGGTTATGATATCGCAAATGAATTAGCGAAAGTTTCTGGGTATATTTGAAAACTTCACATCTAATTGAAACTTTTTACAAAACAACTGTTCAAATTAGATTTAAATCAAATAACTTTGCAAAATTAAATCCACGTGTCTGGTTTCGCCAAGATACACTTTTATTCCGTATATGACTGAAAACCAACAGGGGCATTTTTCTTTTAATTTAAACAAATTTTTTATGTTGTTAAAAATTGCGATATTTTTTCTCATTTCAGAAAGGAAAATAATTCAATTTTCCCAGATTGATTCAAGTTTTGATTTATCCTAATTTTGATGATTATGTCTTATAGAAAACAAACCCCAAAATTCTCATATATATCTCACGTATGCTAAAAGAAATCATATTATATTTATAGAAAGTTGAGTGGAAGGAAAAAAGTATTATACCAAAAGGTGCATCACCTACCAGGGAAAATCACAACCTTACAATGACTGTCAAGTAAAATCCATTCAAGAATTTGAAGGAGATTCACAGAAGTGTAATGAAAATACAGTAAGATTTCTCATTTCTTAAATATTTGGGGAGCCAGTGGAATAAGACAAGAATGTGGAAAACGTAATTAGAACTGTTTCCTCCAGATTGAAGACCTGCCACACCATTTTGTATTTTCTGTAGCTGGCCCAAAGAGGAACCACTGCACCCCATACAAAATGTATTTCAGAAATCTGGTCAAGCATTAATGAAGATGTCAAATTGCTTACTAAAAGGAACTGGCTTTATTTTGCCCAACTTCCTCAGCTGATGTGAAATGGGCTTTATAACAGAATCCAAGTTGCTTGGATTCCAGAGTGAAGGTTCCAGGCGGTGATGATTTGGGGTGCCATGTCATCTGTTGGAGCTCATTCACACGGTAAATATAGTCATACATCAGTAAATTTTAAGGCACTTTATATACTTCATTCTGCATGGAAGTAAACACACGCTTCAAAAGCTTTCATTTGAAACATCCTTTTCATTAGTCTGATGTTAATATTCAAATCTGTAATTGTCTGTAAGCTACGATCATCAAAATTCTCAGATATAAAGGATTTCAATATTTTTTCTCTGTGCAATGAATCTATATGTTACATAAGTTTCACTTTCGAAAATGAGTCAAAAGAAAATTTGAACTTCATCACAATTTGATCATTTTTGGAGTTTTATTGGTGTCAGCAATCTGCTTATTTATAATTTCTGATTTGCTGGAAGGACGAATGATTGACTTAATAAACCAAAAACGAATAAAAGAAAATATCTGATACAACGCGCAAGTTTCTCAGCTTTCTAATGCTCTTGACGTGACTGGACTGGGTTTTCAGAATATGAATGAGACGTGAGACAGAGTGAGGAGATCAGACCTTTGGGAATCGAGTCTCACTTTCTGTTCTCCTCTCTGCATGCAGGCTTGTCAGTGCTCACACTCACCCCGGATGGCTTTGGAGCGAGCTCGCGTTCTTGTCTCTGTGTCTTGACTCATCTATGTGACAGAGGGTTGGGTGAAAGGTTTACAACAAGCAGACAGCGTAGCATGGGGGAACGATTAAGAGGGTAAAATCATTGTCAGACAGACAGGAGAGATGGCCAGACAGACATACAGACAGAGAGAAAGACAGACAGCGGAAAACAGAGGGAGGGAAAACAACAACAACAAAAATACTTTGTCACTTACTTTGATCTATCTTTGAACTCATTTATGCCTAGAGTTGGACACAAAATAGGACATCAGCTCGGATAAGAAGAGCAATCTACATTCTGCCTTTCTGAATGAAAATACAAACTTTACTGGGTTCTATTTTTTGGATCACATTGATCCAAGAAAAGAGAACAAGCTTGGCTATTTGATTTCATAGCTAACTTTAAACATAATGGGTAAAACCAGTAGCCGCATGTTAGAGAGCACTCTGATTTTCTGCCTCTAAAAAAGCAACATTTTCTGTTGAAGCTCAAGAAATGTTACGCGTTTGATTTTTTTTCTTTTCTTTCTCATTGGACCGTCAACTAAAAATAATCACAGATTACACTGTTCATTTCAACACTGGGAAATGCCAGTGTTAAAGCCGAGTTGATATTGAGGAAATATTTGGAAATCAAATAAAAATATGTCAACAAACATATTTATCAGCTTCCAATCAGCATAATTCTCTTTAAAGTGTTTGGTAAGTCATGGTTAGACTTAAACATTTCAAAAGTGCGTCTTGTCTAACAAGACGTATTGTACAGGCATACCCTGCATACAGATGAAACTCCTACAATGCTCCCTTCCACCTGGAGCAGCATCAGCCCTCGTTCCCGCAACTCAACCAGGTGACTTCGTCTCTGAAGAGTGTTAACCCCAACAAAGTGTTGGGGAGGACTGAGGTCATGTGCTGACCTGTTAGCAAGGGTCTCTTTAAACATTTTCAGCTGCCCTGTCACACTAACCCCAATCATCACATGTGAGAGGATCATCCTGAAACACATTAGGAATGGCCTTCCTGCTGGTCACGACAGGTACCAGTTTGCCACAGAGCGGGGCGTCTCCGGTGTCAGGATGCTGAACTTCAGCATCCTGACACCGATGCTGAACTTCAGTTCACTCTTTAGCACCATCATCCTGGGAAAGCTGGTGGCGAAGCTCCATAATCCTGGACTTTAAACAGCAATTTGCCTTTGGATCAGGGACTTTCTCAACAACCAGTCTCAGGTGGTGACAGTAGGGGGTCAAACATGCTCCACCCTGGTTCTGATTGCAGGTACACCACATGGATGTGTGCTTAGCCTGGTTCTTTTTACACTATTGACCCACGACTGTGCAGCTTTCCACTGAACCAACAGGGTTCAGATGATGCTACCGCAGTGTGTCTAATAACAAACACTGATGAGACCCTGTGCAGAAAAGAGATCCAACACTTGTCCCAGTGGCGTTCACTGGACAACCTGGTACTCAACACCAGCAACACCAACAAGGTCATAGTGGACTACAGGAGATGCAGGAGGACAGTGCAGCCACCTATTGCAATTGGAGAGGTGGTGGAGCGTCTGGACAATATCAAATTCCTGGGCATCACCTGGGATGTGACCTGGTTGATGAACTAGTCTTTCCTGGTGATGAAAGCCCATCATAGACTCTTTATCCTCAAGAAACTGAAAATGATTGAACTCCCTGCTCAGCTCAATAACTTCTATAGACGCATGATTGAAATTCCCCTGTTGTTATGATAAGGGTTAGTGGGTGGACCAAATGCATCAGACTGGAAACGTCAAGCTATGCTGAAGATTTCATAAAAAAATGAAAGAATAAAAAAACTCACAAAAATCAAAAGAAAGCCTGGAATCCAGAGAAGGACAAAAACCAATGAAGACAGCAGAGAACAGAGGGGAAGAACAACAGGATGTAATGGGAATAGACGAGAGGAACTGGCAAGGAGTGAAAGTAAGTACTGGGAGAGTGAATGCAATGGAGCTGTGGCCTTGCAGCACGAAGGTCCTGGGTTCAATTCCTGGCCCGGGTCTTTCTGTTTGTTCTCCCTGTGTATGTGTCGGATCTCTCTGGGTACACTGGCTTCCTCCCACAGTCCAAAAACACGACTGTCAGGTTAAATGGTCTCTCTAAATTCTCCCCAGGTGTGAGTGTGTGTGCTGTCTGTCTCAGTGTCCGTTGCCCTGCGATAGACTGGCGACCTGTAGGGTGATCCCGCCTCTCTTCTGTTGACCTCTGGGCATCCTGGGACCCCTGGTGACCCCACTAGGGATAAGTGTGTAAGATAATGGATGGATGGATGGATGGATGGATGGATGGATGGATGGATGGATGGATGGATGGATGGATGGATGGATGGATGGATGGATGGATGGATGGATGGATGGTACAGGGAGCGTGGAAGAGCACACAAGGACCAGGAAATGAACCAAAGTAAAACAGAATAAGTGTTGTCTTTGTTAGAGGGGTCTGATAAAAAGAAACAGAATAAACAAACTTCAAAGCAACACAGGATCTTAACACACACACACACAAAAAACATATATATATTTACTGTATATATATAAATATGTTATCCTTAGAACATATATGCATATATATGGCAACATACAAATCTTATTGTATGTCTTACTTCTGCTGACTGCAGCTTTGTGGAGGTGAATTTTTATGAATTTTTATTTTTATCTGACATATCAACGTAACTGTGAGCATCATGCTCTTTTTCCATCAAAAAGTCCAAAACTGTAAAAGTGCGAAGTTAGAGCTGAAGTAACAAATTTAAATCATAAAAAAACTTTATGATTTAAAGTATTTCGTGAATTACATGGGAGAATATTGTGTTTGAAATACAACGACGCAAAATGGTTTGTTTATGAATTCATAAAAAAAAAATATTGGGCTGGGACAAAACGGAGGAGGAAAAAAATAACTGCGACAGGAAGTGGGTTGATAAGCAGCTCAGCAATTATTATGTCATCAAATCAAAGGTGAAGAAAAATGTAAAAACGTAAAAAAAAATAAATAATAATAATAATAATAAAAAAACATGACGAATAAACCAAGATGAATTTTCCCAGAATCGACAATAGATGAAACAAAAGACAACAACAACAGTGTAAATGCATTTGGATGAAAAGAGGCTGCGTGATGGCACCGGGCAGCCCGACGCGCTGTGGCACAAAAGGAAACATGAGGACGCACATGCGGAGTGAAGGCGTTCAGCGCGGTGACAACAGAGACGTGAAGGCCTGCGCAGGCCTTTCCCTCTGCTAATCTGACATTCTCAACAAATATATCAATCGAGGCCTTTCACTGTTTTTTTTTTCTTCTTCACGGTTTTAGTTAGCGGTAGACCAAAACGGTAAGCAGAGTATAAAGACCATCCAATACTAAAAAGCTTTTGAAAGCAATGAGCGTGCGCATATTGGGATCGAGCCTCAGAAACAAAACTGGGCAGAAAACGTCTGATTCCGCCTGGTGTCACCTCCACCCTGCTCGTCATGAGACGCAACATAATCCCTACTGTTTGAGATTAGATAAGAACAGAGAATAAAAGAGCTCTTTGTTGGTGAACCAAAGCCTTACCTTACTACAGTCCTCCCCTCCCCCTCCGCCTTGACATATCTAGGGAGGCGGACTGTCGCCCTCAGTAACGATGCTCCACGCAACAAAACAACAACAACAACAACAAAAAAAACTACAAAAGCAAAGCACCTGAACACAGCACGAAGCTTTGAATTCTCCAGTGGTGTCCACGGATGAGATCCAGGCCCCATGAGCCTTCCAGCACCCTGGACAGAGCCGATCCTGCTTTCAGCACCACGGACAGAGGGCTGGTTCTACTGCCCCCTGCAGGTGGACGGGAAAGATGCAGGCCTGCCGTGGTTGGGACTTCCCCTGCCCAGTCTGTGACGTCATGTCAGCGTTTAAAGAGCCATCCAGTCCAGCACTGGGTTGGATGGAGAAAATAATGCCAGTCCTGGCAGGATGACAGCCTGTTGTTTTAAACACACGTCAATGGCGCTGTGCGGTGTTTGAGAGCATTTGGCTTACATCATGGAATCACAACGAGAATTTATTATTGTTTGTCATTGTACAGATGTTTACCAACTCCAAAATAGTGCAGTGTCAGAGTATAAACACAAATACGGTGGTGAGCATGTAACTCTGATCACTTATGATGCTCTGTGTCATGTTGACCCTTCACCAGATGGAGACAAGACTCGTTTAGGAACAGTTTGAGGGTTTGCTGTTTATAACTTAGAGTCAAACTGGTTCCATACATTATTAGTCCATTTGCATTTTTTTTTCACTGTAGCCTATACTCAAATTGGGTGGAAGTCACTTTTTTTCTTGGAAAGCTCCGTCTTTGACCTCCTTGATCTAATCAAGATCATCTCACATCAGATGGCAGATAACAGGTCTCTCTGGCTTTAAAGCAGGGGAATCCTTATGATCTTTGGACCCCCTGGCTGTCTCCTGGGTCATTATCAGTTAAAGACTTCTTCAAAAAGAAGTCTCAATTGCTAATGCTAAAGTGCTGTGTAAATAATATTCAACTGCCAGAGCAAGAAAAAAACATTTTGAAGTTAGAAAAAATAAAACAATGCTAACCTCACTTAGGCTGATATAAGCTGTATCATCTGACTTCGCGTAGCTGGTGGAGAGACCAGACCAAACATGCTCTACTGTCTCTTAAAAGCTGTCTTAGTGGAGCAAGAAGGTACATTCTGAAGGTGCTTTTGAGGCCACTGGGATAGATAGTCCTCTATGCCAGTCCACCCCTGCTTTACAGCACAAAGAGTTTTCGCTGCTAGGCGTGGCAACGCACGGCAACAGCGTGCGTTGCCACGTCTTTGCCATAAGTTTGGCTCTAAATTCCACATATTTCAGCCAAGCTGCACCAAACTCACTACTTTTGATCAATGGGATTGCAGTTCAATATTTGGTGGGCATGCTCTAATTCTTTCACAGCCTCCTCTAGAAATCCTTAAAAAAAACCCAGTCCCAAGTCATCGACAATCATGACATTTGGTAGTCATGTGTATCTTGTCCGGACCTACAAAAAAATATTTTGGAGCCAAGGTCCAAACTCCACAAGAAGTCAGCCATTTTGAATCAAAGCAACCATTTTATCTCCTTTGCATGTTGCAGATTGGCAAACTCCTCCAACAGCTTCATAATCACTCAGAAGATCAAAAGTTATCAAATTCTTTTGAGTACATCAAAGCATGTTGGCATGGCCAAACCTTGAAACTTGAACCATTTGCCATAAAACATCAAGGTGAAATAACTTCCACACACTAGTTATCCAAGCTGCATGAGACTTTCTGCCTGCCGTAACTGACCAGCACTCATCACCTTGGCCTCGCCTTCTTTGAACAGGAAGCCTGCTGGTTCTCTTCCTTTAGCTCTACGATTCATACAGTTTTACACCTGTGTTTATTGACTTAGAACAATATGAGACTAATCCTTTTTTCAACGCTGCCTGGTGGCTACAGGGTCCAAGTGGACTGGTGCAGGAACAGCACAAGAACATGATGACGGCGACTGGTTGGCGGAGCTCCACCACTATAGGGCAATAAAATGAGATAGTATGGCAATATAATGAGATGACTATCTCATAATAAGGAGATAATGTCATTTTAATTAGATAAAATCTCAATATAAACCAGAATAAAGAGAACATTAAGCTGTTGGAAGCATCATCTCAGTTGATGCCCTTTCATGAAGGTATCAGAGAAAAAACAGAACGCGAGATCAAATCTTGGTACACTGAAGATAAAAAAAAGAAAACAGAATGTTAAAAGAGGAAGTAACAGCATTTCAAGGAAGGAGGAGTTCAGTTCACATGTGCTCCAGATGCATAAAACGGGCTGAAATCCCTCTTTACTGAAGTCTCACAAATCAAATAAAGGTTTCACGAATCACAAAGTTGGTTTTCAATATTCCACTATCAATTGAGAATAATCCAGTCCAGGTATGAAGAGTCTATTGTCTACACGCTCTTAAAACAAGTGTGTCATATTTTGAGCACATTTAAGAGCAAAGCATCAACTGCTCAACTCCACAGCATCTCCTCCACACAGTGTGGAGACGGGCCATGCGTCTGTGACAGCTTGTGCATGTGATGGATCAGTGTGCACAGCAGACCGCTTACAATCTGGAAGTGTGTTCCTTGAGAAAACTAAAGATTTTCTTCATGAACGTTGCTCCAAATGCAGAAAGTCGTGTGTATTTTGAAAGAAAAAAAAGAAGTGTTTTAGAACTGCAATTTCAATATGAAGCAGAAATTAAGTTTAAGTTTAGCAGAATTGCTGCCGGGGATTGTTGTCAATGTGTCTCAAGAATCAGTAGTTGTGTGTCAAGAGTCGAGAAAAACTCCAGAAAACCCCTTTTATTGGCACATTGTATTGTTTGAAAGGAGGTCACGCCACTCACAATATGGCGCTTGCGCTGACGCACAGACAGGGTCAGCAGCACTAGCAAGGCGCTAACAGGACGCGGCTTTTCACGCTCCGCTCTCTCCCGCTCTCAAAACACACGGATGACGTCTTTTCCTGTGATGGGGAAAAAAAAAATCACGTTATTTCCGGTAAGGATCCGGATCCATGTACCCAGGGAGCAGAAGTGACTCGTTCTGCCGCAGCCGTCCGAGATGCTCCGAAAAGGAGGCTTGTGCAAAACTCTGACGAGTGTGAGACGGATGTGTGACTGGTCAGGCTCCTGGTTCAACCTGGCGGTCGAGAGCTATCCCGTGGTTTAGAGGAAACCTCGGAGTTTCCCTTCCAGAAAGGAGAGGTGAGGCTTGCTCTTTTTTTTTTTTGTCCACCTGCAAACTTTATTTATAACGAGCACTCTGTTTACATCAGTGAATTGCAAATCAATCGAGACAGAAAAATGATTGGAGGTTATAATAACAGGGAAATAGCTTGAACAAGTTGTACAAGAGCACTATATAAAAACAGTGTGTGTGTGTGTGTGTGTGTGTGTGTGTGTGTGTGTGTGTGTGTGTGTGTGAAGGATGGACCTAAGCACCAGGCTAATGATGTGGCAGGAGCTGGCTGTGAGCTGTGGCTTCACTACGTCACATCAGAGCCTGCAGCAGGTGTGGAAGCTGCTTCTTCTCTGTCTCATCTGCAGAGTCTGCTTCAGGCTGGGTCAGTGTAACTGCTTCCCATGTTAATATTTGTATAATCGCACACATTTTGCTTTTAATTGGCCTTTTCACACTTGTAGCCCCTATTTTTCCCTCTGAGTACCACATGAACAGGGATCCTTTGAAATCCCATAATTATCAGCTTGATTTGTCTCGTTTCTGTTACGACTGAAAAAAGAAAGTGAAGGGAAAAATGCTCAACCGATGCATCTTCACTTAATTTGAGCAGCATTTTACAATACTATTGGCTCATTAAATTATGTAACAAATCTAATGTCTGGAGTCTCTATGGGTTATTAAGAATGTAGATCTTTTTTTAATGCTTTGCTGTTTCCATCACCCAGGAGTCGCGTCAGCGGTGAAGCATGTTGCGTCCACGTTGATCGGACTGTTTGGCCTGTTCCTATTCCTGGAGTTGCACATGGTGTGGGTGCTGCTGCTCAGTGTTATCTGTTACCTCAGCCTCCTGCTCTGCAGACACTCTAGCAACAAAGGCCTCTTCCTCTCAGTCATTATCCTCGTCTATCTTCTCATTGGGTGAGAGAACAGTGCACAAAAACAGCACAGTTTATTTGTGGGGTGTTAAAACACTGTTTGAGCTCTTTGTGCTTTAGTAGGAGTCAAAAAATAATAATATTGCAATATGAAATGAGGCTTTCTGCTGTGTCCTGAATCAAATATTGCTTTACAGTGTTTATTTGTGTTGCACATTTAAAACAATAGCAGTTGACCAAAGTGCTTCATAATTACACCAACAATCACAACATAAGCACGGGCAAAAACCATAAAAACAAAACACAGAGAGATATTAATTAAACCAGCAACCCAAGCTGTATGAAAAGCCTGTGAGAACAGATGTGTTTTGAAAAGAGATTTAAAAGAAGTACTTGGACGTGTCTTGAATATGTCCACATATTTGGGAGAACATTCCTAAGGACGGAAATCTGGAAAATGTTCTCTATTCATCTCTATTTATCTTCCATGAACTGCATTCATATGCATCTTCAGTAAATCTGTGTTTATCTGCTGTATTTTTCTCTCTCTCCCTCTCTGACTATCATGTAAGTTTTTCCTGACCAAGTGTAGTCTTATTTCTACTCTGACATCCAGACCGGGTCAACAACTTTTATTCGGTGATGACTGGATTTGTCCTTCGTGTCAGGGGTCAGGACATTAAACATTTAGGCTTTCTCTACTTGTACCTGCTGCTGCTTGCAGGAGAGCAAACCGCTTCCACCAAAATGAAATTCATCACGCTTAAAAAAATGGCAGATGTCACTGCTGCCTTTTCACGTTTTCGCGACTGTTTTTCTGTTTTCTCTCTGTCTGTAGCTGAGTGAAGCTCACAGCCCAGGTTTCAGCAAGTAGACTGAGTGGTTGGTGCTTCGTTTGTGCTGCTTTGGTATCTGAGATATTAAAAAAATATATTTTTTAAGTCTTCCAGTCGTTAATCAGCTAAGATACCATTAAAATTGTCTTTAGGGCAGCTTTTGTTTATGAGATAGTATAAATTGAGCTTTCAACTTGTATCCTCTTCTAAAGGTTATTTAGCTGTGTGGAAATAAATTGTCTGAAGTTGAAAGTGCAATATGTAGAATAGAGATTCCTTTGAAAGCTTGAAGGAATTGTCTTCTTGATTTATTTCAGAGAGTTGCATTTTTTCGACATGG